TAAAACAGACATTTAATGTTTTCGACGAAAATGCCAAACGAAAATAATAGCCCTTTGGGCTAAAAATAAATAAAGTAAAATAAAATTATGCATACCCCCAAGTAATCCTTGAGATAAATGTTGCAGCGGAAACATGTTTGCAAGCGAATAATGTGGCAACGATAGATGAGATAAGAACTTCATTCAGGAAAAAATGGCCAACGATACATGTGAGAGAACAATCGCTGAGTGAACATAAACCCAGATTTATTTTAGTTCTTCAGCATTTCTCGGCTTAATCCTGCAATTTGGGGAATTCATATATGTTGCTTTTTCAGCACTTACGATTAGTATGCAGTGAAACCACATTGAAAGGCAAAATGAATATTCTTGTAATATGTGATTATAAAATCATTTAGCGATGTGATATCAACATTTAAATATTTAATGCTATTTTAAGAACACTTGAATGGCACTTGTTGCATTCTTTCCTTTCCTTGAAATTAGTTACATAAACCTACCGGGCTATCTTTCAGGGCATAAAGCGAAAAAAAATAAAGAAACTTAATTTTACAAGCTTTCAGATCCTCTTATGCCTTTCTTTCCGTAATAAAGAACTTCATGCCTCACCATATATTTTATCCATTGCTGCCACTTAATAAATTTCAGCAGCAGAAATGTATGGTGCAGTGTGTTCTGGTATACTTTGAAACAATGCTTCCAAAATATGTATTTTCTGACTATCCGCACCAAGAAAAATCGCTAATTCATTCGCGACTTCGTGAATTGGAAGAAAATATTTGTTTTATTATCTTTACTGCTCAAAATTACTGTTATGTTTATAAATAATAATAAAAAGAAGCATTTAATAAGAAGTGAAAAATTTCGAACCAATTTCACTTGCATTTCGGTACTTCGCTTTCAGTACTTGACACTAGATTTTCACAAATTCTTTTATTTATGAACAACTCTATAACTGTATTCTCTAGTATATGACACTACCGCATTTCTTCCAAAAATAAATGCTTTCGTTTCATCAAATCGTAAACTTATAAGGTATTTCTCCCACTAACTTAGCATGCCTTTGTGTTGTAGTGGTCAGCACACTCTCCGCGTATTCGAGAGGTCCGTGGTTCAAGTCCCGGAGAGAGCATTACTCATTTTTCAACTCTCATGCTTCGAAATAACCTAATATCTCTACAGTGGTGACCGAACTAAAAAAAGGTGGTGGATGATGATTCTCCATCACCAAGATCTGGCGATTGGGTTCAATAATCCCAGTCGCCATTTAAAAGGGAGAACATATAAGCTATTTCTTCCGCCTTCTTAGCATGCCTCCGTGGTGTAGTGGTCAGCACACTCGGCGCTTATTCGAGAGGTCCGTGGTTCGAGTCTCGGCGAGGACATTGCTCATTTTTCACGTCTCTTAGCATCGAAATAACCTAATGTCTCTACAAACTCTAGTACCACTACGATTCATTGCGACAAAATAATAACAGAATTTGCATGTGAAAGGGTCATCTACGTAATGACTGTTAAATACGAAATGTGTGAATCCACACGTACTCGACACCTGCATAACATATGCATAATAACACAGTCCTCGTAGAAAATATGCCAAAAACGTGGCAAATTTACTGAATATTGATTCTGAAGTTAGAGATTATCAGAAAGCACTCCCAATTGTTTCAGCCGTGTAATCATGTGCATCTGGCTATACCATCTACATGTAGTTAAGCATTATCAGAACCCACATGCATATAATTATTTAGTTAGTCAAACGATTCCCTGGAAAAGCTATGTAGTAATGAAGTAATAATAATTAAGCATGTGTAAATATTATAAATTACTTGATAATACTAAAGTAAATTTGCATTATAGGTAAATATACATAATTAGAAAATAAGGAAAAATATTTCAGAACATTCTATGACCTATTAAAAATTTTCTAGCGATCCATCCGTAAATGGGTCGCGATGTCGATCCACGTTTTAACCATTGATCCGAGCTTTGAGAACCATTGCTCTAAACATATTTCTGCAAAAATGACTGTTAAAAGTTGCTCTTGACAAAAATGACTGTTAGCTAATTGACCAAAACGAAGATTTTGTAGTAGTTACATAAAATTTTTATATTTCTTGCTGTTTGTCATTCTTAATTGGTGAATTGTAATACTACTAAGAAAAAGCATAGAAATAACTTTTAGTTACAGTTATTTTAAAGGTAAAAAAAAATAATAAACATTCTCAAAATGGAAATCTGAAATGTTTCAGATTTTAAATTATGTCCAAAGGGGCGTTTTTTTTACGTTTTGTGAGTTACATTTATTTTTTAAATATCATGTTCTTCGCACTTAAACCATAAAATTCAGTTCAACATCAATATCACAAAATAGTTTTAAAATGAGCATATATTTAGAATTTCCCATACAGAGACTCACGCGTTGGAGACAAAAATACTTTTTCTGTACAACGTTGCCATTGCTCGCTTCGAAATCCTTGAGTTTGTTAATCAAAAATTCGTTAAAGTTTTACAAAATAGGAAATCGATAATAAAACAAATTCCAAATTTCAAATTTGGTCTTCCACATGCCCATATTCGTAGGAGGATTACGTCATTCAGAATTCGATGACTCTATGCATCGTTGTTTTATCACAACGCAATATACATACATTTAGCAACGAGAAATATTTATGCAGATTTTTCATTATTTAGTTTCTTTAAATATAACACAGGGCGATAATACTTTGTGGCAACAGTTTGAAAAGTGATTCGCCGTTTGTAGTGATTCGACGCAAAATGGCAAATGAAAACAATAGTCCTTCAGGGACAAAGCCCTTTTGGACTAATAATAAAGGGAATCTGTTTTAAGTTTCTAGTCAATGGTTAATTTCTTTTTTCTGATGGACATGTTCTGATCAAATAAAAGACGCCACTTTTAATCTCGTTTACCACAATACCTTTCGAGAGCTAAAATTAGCACTGCTGTTCAGATTAAGTAGCCACTGAAGCAAACTAAATATTTAAAGAATAAATAAAACCATAAAACTGAATCTTACTAATATGAAATTGCAAAACATTGTGTCCATGCATTAAACTCTAAAGCAAGAAGCATGTTTCATAATAGACTAACATTTCCAAATATTTTGTCTTCGAGATCTCATTTCTTCGCACTCACTTTCATAGCCACTGTGAAAACTGACGTTCCAAACGAGAATTCCATAAACCGATAAACTGAAATAACAAAAAAAAAAAAAAAAAACGAAACCTCCTCCTTCTTTTACCCTTCTAAGAACGGGACTTCTCATCGAACACTGTAATATGACCACTGTCCGGTTGGAAGGTCAACGTATACGATTCGTTGAGGATTATTTTTTCCGGGAACCGTCACTCAATTTTGATTGGCAAGGGTATTGAAGCTGACATCACCATCTGGTCGAGTCCAGCAAACGGACACCTCTCCAACACCCTCTTTGACTTCGAATCTTTTGCTCTTGCTGTTTTCCCGCGCACCCTCTCCCACTCACTACTGCGATGACGGCGTAGGACGAGAAGTCTTCGCAACCTGCTGCCGAAGATTCTCAGCTCAGACGCCGACAGAGAATCTTCGCTTATCCCGTACTTGAGAGCATCGATTTTCAGTTGAAAAGATTGAAGTTTCAACCCAAAATTCAGAATTTTTCATCAGTTTCTTAGAATCGAAATATTATGAAAGGATTTTTTTACTTTTTAAATGCTAAAATAAATTAACTGTGCTTATATCTAATTTTCGATGGTTAGTTAGGGTTTTGTTTTCAGGTTTTTATGTAGGAATTTAAATAAATGTTTTGTTTTCAGTTTTATTGCTTTTAACTATTTACTTGTTTCTGATTTTAAATAATTGGAAATGTTTTTAATTTATTCTAGCTTAGCATCTAATTTTTGATTAGCTAGAATAGTAGCCCAGCAATTTAACATATGTATAAAATAAATATAAACCAGTTTCGTATAAAATATCCTGAAGGTATTAGGCAGCATTATTAAGAAGGATGTTTTTAAAAAAATCATGTTTCGACTTTTTTTGTCTTCGTCAATTAGTTTTAGAATGAGGTGGGGTTTTTTTTTTGTTTGTTTGTTTTTATCCCAGAAATTTAAAAAGTATACCCGATTTTTATCTTGGTTTTTATCTTCGAATTATTTTATCTTGGTTAGTTTTTTTTATCTGAAGAGTATAAAAATATCTTACTAAGTACCTGGGTACTTTTATACTTTTTGGATAGCAGTTCAATGCATTACGCTGATAGTATGTTTCTAAATGTTCAATGAACTTTATTTCAAACGGTTTGTCAATTACTTAACCCATCTTTTGTCAACTGCACTACTTCGTTCATAATAAGCGTGTACTTAACTAAACATAACAGTACTAAGAATCAGATGTTTTGTGACCGTATGGTACTTAATTACAAACAATTTTGTTACCTAGATTAAAATACTTATAGTCAACATTTCTGTACCGTACATCTTGTACGAGTCAAATAAGTATTTTGTTAGTTTAAAAATGCCATTTTCAGTACAGATATCTTTTTAATATCCGTATTATCTCGTAAAAGTCAAGTGTTGTGTGCCTCTTTGGGGGCTTTGCCAAATAAAGTGAATATATGTCTCATCGATATAGGCACAGATGGGATATATCGATATATCATATAATTTTTTTGGATTTATTCAAATAATTTAAAATATAACTATTTATTGAAGCAATAGCTTAATGTGTGGTTATATAGATATATCAAGAGGGTTACTTGGCTCTTTAGTAAGAAATGGTTAGTCCGAATTCTAATTAAATATATTAGCAACAAAATGCAAAACAAAATAAATCATAATGCGAGCTCTATTATCATTAGTGTTGCAATACTTTTATATCTCAGTTTTGTTTAAACATTCACTGCTTATAAATTTTAATGTAAAGACTTATTGTAAAACTTTTTATATTGTAAGTCTTTTACTTTTTATGTTGTAAGACTCACATGCTTTCATTTTTATAGCAGTTACGATAAGAAAAATTAGCCGTATTCTGATTGACGACCAGGAGAACAGGCATAAAGAAGAAAATGTGTTAGAAATAATAAAAAAGAGGAATGCAGAGAATATATGGAAGGTAAGCTATAAATATTGATTCAATTATAAAATTTATAAGATTTTAACGTAATGTTAAGCTTTTAAGCTTGCAACTTCTATACTGAAAACGTTAGTTTGTTTTGAATCAGACATAAACTTATACATCTTTCTTCAACACAATCAACTCTTCTTGCTTCATAATTTTAGTATATATTTCCTTTACATTTATTTCGTATGATTTCTTCCTCAGTATATGATATAGCTTTATCTCAATAAAAATAATTATTAATTTTATTGATAGTTTTCTTCATCAATCGGATCTTGATTAGGCCGATAAACTGTCAACGCATGTTCGACTATCGACTCCTGTCGAAATCTTGATCATCACTGACCCCCTATTCGTCAACCTACAGGGGTCAATACCGACCCAATTGGGAACCCTTGGCTAAAACTGTATTGCTTCGGTTTGTGAATATGATTCAGAGTTTCTAATAAATATTGTCTGGCTTTGACTGTTATAATTCGACTATGTCAAATGCAACCTGGGTGGCATTCTGCCAAAACATTTAGGATCGTCCAGAAAGGGTGTTAAATACGTACCGCAGAAAGATGAGATCACATGAGAGTTCGCTTGTCTGGAAAAAGGGAATTTACTACCGAAGAACGAGGAAGTTTCCGTGTCAATGGGTGATTCTGTTGTCAGTAGTCTTTCGCGCCTTTATTTCATATTCGCAGAAGTAAACGTGAAGATTCGCATTGATGTGCAACACTGGAAACCAAAAATGTTGCAATTTATTTTCAAACTGTATGAATTTTACATGAAAAATGATTCTTCATTGCTTAGGTTTTAAAAACAAGATCCCTAAAGATAGTGAAGCTATATTTTTGGCGGAAGCATGAGTTTTGTAGTTTAAAAAAGAATGAAAGGTAAACAGATTTCCACCCCATTTCAGCGGGATCTTCCCTGATAGTTGATTTAACGTGATATTTGTCAATATTCTGAACATTTACTCCAGGATTATCTTCGTCCTTTTTTTCTAAAATAAATTTGGTTTTTCCTCCGCAATTCAACTATGTACACTGGTGAAATAAATTAAGAGAATTTGCATATTTTATCGAACTACATGAAAAGAACTGAACTAAAGGAAAAACCACTGCTTTTAGATAAAAATGCAAATATTGTACTGCAAAAACATAAGCGTACACGTGTGTGTAGGCGGATCCAGGAGAAAAACAGGCTAAGCGTGTGAAGGGTAAGACGAACTGCGTTTGCTAGCACATCTCGACGAATTTCTTGGTGTAACAGTAAAAATGAGTAATCACCAAAGTTTAGATGATGGAAAGAGGTGGCTAATAGTGGTATGGCTAGAGACAGGCCAATCGCAAGTCCAGATATGCAGAGAGTTTAATTTAACGCCCAGCGTCGTGTGTAATCTATGGAAAGAGTTCCAGGATACTGGATCCATCGAGAGAAAGCCCGGGCAAGGTCGTCCAAGAACCACGACGGCCAGAGAAGATCACTATTTTTCCATTTTAGCGACGCGTTACAGATGGGCTACAGCTTCCCAGCTCTCTTGGGACCTGTATGCAGCCACAGGAACCCGTGTAACAAGGGGTGACTGTTTCCAAAACACTGAATGAGAGAGGGTTGTTTGTCAGAAGAGTGGCTGTTAGCGTCCGGCTCACGTCTACGGACAGGAGAGCTCGATTAGCATGGTGCAGGCAGCCTAGTGGTTGGAGTACGAAGCAATGGGCGACCGTTCTGTTCACCGACGAGTCACGTTTTAGCCTAAACACTTATTCTCGCCCTTCTTTCATATGAAGAGAGCCAGGGACCCGCTACCTACCCTCAAATACCCGCGAAATCAACAATTATGGCGGTGGCGGTTTAATGGTCAGGGAAGGCATCATATTGGATAGCCGCACACATCTCCATGTCTTTGACAAAGGCTTTTGTGACTGGTGTCAGATATAGGGATTAGGTCGTGGAGCCCTATGTTCGCCTTTTCCGGGGTGCAGTGGGCCCCGAGTTCATCTTACAGGATGATAACGCGAAGCCACATAGACAAATCTGGTCAACGAATTTCTCGAGAGTGAGGATATTCGCCGGATGAATTGTCCAGCCAGGTCTCCAGACCTCAACCCTATAGAGCATGTCTAGGACGCTCTGAGGAAAACAATTGCAACTCGCAACCCCCCTCCGAGAACCATTTAGGAACTGAAAACTGCGTTGCTGAATGAGGAGGAGCAATTGCCACAGGCACTGATAAACTGCTTCATTTCCAGTATGACATATCCTCTATTAACCCATTTCTTTTGTGTCTTCTTCAACCGCTGCTTCAGACCTTCAGACTCCCATGAGTGTTACACATGAACATGTGTGTCTATTATAACTGCTGAATGTTTTTTTTTTTTTTTTTTTTTTTTTTGTATTATATCAACCTATGTTCACACCGAATTTTATTAATATCTGTCCAGTAGTTCTGAAGATCGTAGATCAACTATGAAAATTCTCTTAATTTATTTCACCAGTGTACAATAATGTTTAAAGATTTTAGCCCCAAAATCAAAAAGAAATATAACAGTAATTTATTATAACATAATTATTATAATTAATTAAATAATTATTGTAATAATTTACTAACGTATAATTCTTATAACTAATCATTAGTTTCTTTTTTCACTGTATTATTAATACACATATATTATAGTTCAAAGATAAAATAGATACATAATAATTATTAATTGTAGCATTATTATAAGCATTTATTATTGTAAAATTATTTTTAAAAAGTTTAAAAAAATCTGAAAGCTTTCATATTTTATATTACGCACAAAGAAACGTGTTTACGCCACACAAAATTCGATTCAACTGCAAAATCACAAAATATTTAAAAACAGCATAGGTTTAGAATTTACGAGAGACAGTCTTGCGTGTTGGAGGTAAAAATGTTTTATTCCGTACAGTGTTGCCTTTGATTGCTTTGGAATCGTTGAATTTGTTAACATAAAATTCGTTAAAACTTTAGAAAATATGAAATAGATAATAAAACAAATTAGAAATTCGAGATTCGGTCTTCCAGTTTTCCATGTTCGGGTGCAGAACGTATTCAAATTTTGATCGCTCTAAGTACAGTTGTTTTTTTGCAATGAGAGAAACATTCATACCTTCATGCAGATTCTTCATTATTTAATTTCTTTAAATATAAACAGGGTGATAATATTTGGTGGTAACAATTTAAAAGGGATACGCCGTTTATAGTGAACCGACGCAAAATGCCTTTCGAGACTAATAGCCCTTCTGTACTAACGCTCCTAATCAATTATAATATTAATTATAATTTATTAGGTGTACTAATAATCAATATATTAATTATTATATTAGAATTCATTGTAATGAAAATTATACGATAAAATGTATTAATCAAATTACTATAATAGCAGTTATTATACAATAATAATTACTTACTACACTTTAAAATTATGTATATATATATATATAGCAAAATTAAGCTTTAACACATGCCGCCTAGACGGTATAGTGGTTAGGGAAGTCTGACTGCGATACCGAAAGGCCTGGGTTCGAATCCCGGAGAAGGCATGGTTGTAACTGTCCGTCCGTTCACAGGAGGCGATGGGGGCCCACCTATTCGGTGCCTTCATAATTAAGAGCTGGCCACATGTGGCTTTGTATAGGATAATGGACTGTGTTACACTGTAACTCTTCACAATCTGCCATTGGGAAAAAAAAGCTTTGAAAACATTTCTAGTTTTAACAATATGTAAATAAATACATAGATGTACGAAATTAAACACAATGTAATCAAATAGTTAATTTAAAGTGATGATATTATCTACTTAAAGTAATTTTCTGCTTCCTTAAATCTGTGCTCCTTGAACGCTCTGAAAATAAATAGGGAAAAAATAAGAGTGAAAAAAATCCCTACTACATGATTCATGTTCATCAGCTCTATTTCGTGTATAAATTTATCTGAATGGCGCATGCGTGTTTGTGCTCATAGTCGCGGCCAGCGCGGTTAAACTATATTTTTCTGCGCTTGGGTTCCTAATTAATTGCATAAGGACTACACATGGATTTAAGCTTCCAAGTAAGTTTTCTAGGCTGTGGACACTGGTACTGTTAGGAAGAAGAATTTCAGGTCTAATTTCGGAAGATAAAAGTTGCAAGGCTGGCCAGAGTAGTCAGAGAGAATTTAAAACTAAGTCTTAAAACTTTGGTATTGAATTTTTCTCTGGTTCTTTTGTGCTTACCTTAAAGCCTCTGACCCAACCCAAATTCAGTCTTCTGCGCTCATTCTTCCCTCCCATCTAGGGATATTTCTTTCCTTTTCTTATTTTTTCTAAATCTTTTGTCAGGCCGATACAGCAAGAAGTCAAAATGCGAATACAGGTTGTCCGTCCACACTGGGTTTTTCTTCCTTACTCTTTACTTCCACATTTTTTTTTTTTTTTTTTTTTCTAGATCCGGCCTATTTCTTCCCACCTCACCACCTCATCTCGTCAGGTTTCCCTAACCCTACCGTCTCCGCCAATCCCCTAACGTCTTCACTTCCTATCAGTTCTATTTTCTACTTTTCTCCTATTCTCGTGGCTTTGAATTGTCGAGAGCATTCGCAAGACGATCATGGACTAGAGGAGTTTATATATTTTATATACCCAAAGTTTTCATTTTTGCCGACTCTACTTTTTTTTATCCTTTTAAGTTAAGTTCTCTCGCTTTAGCAATAAGTTATTTGAAGGCTCTGAGACAGCCTGGGGTGGAATATTCGAAGCTCATTTTTTGTGTGCTTCGAAAAGAAACCTTTAGATGTAGATTAAGACGTAAAAGGGATTCGAAGTGGATGAATTTCCCAGAAATATGTTTTTCCAAGTTGAAGAACCGTTAAAGAGCTAGTGTAAATTTTAATTTTTGACAAGGAATTAAAAATGTTTTGTAAATTAAAAGAAATTCAATTGATTAAAATCTATTCATACTGAAAAATTGAGTTAATTATGCGTTTTATTTCGATAAAAGTTTTG